CAGAATAGAGGGGCGACGGATCTAGGTTTTTTTTTTTCTTTTTTCTGAGAGAAAGAGGGGCGCGTTTCTAACTTTTTTACTTCTTACTATACTAAACTAATCATCATTTAACATGCAATTTGCTAGAGACTTTGCGGCAATGAAATACGATCACTTCAACACATAATGGATCCAAAAAAAGGAGCAAAAAACCCTCTGAACAAAACATATTCCAAGGTAAATATTTTAATATTATTTGCATTACTTGCTTAACTAACAGATGGTTATTTTTGTACATCATACCTTAGTTTATTGCTACAATTATTTATGAATATGCGAACTTACTAAGCATAATCGTTTCTCAATACAACATTATAGATTTGAATATGTGAGTCGTAAATTATGCGAAAGCATGACGCATAATCATAAATTATGCGTCGATCGACTTGAATATGAGATAACTAATATGAAAATAGCTTTGAATATCATAAATTATGATATGGTTTTGAATATGCAATTACAAAATATGCGAAAGTGTTCCGCACAATTATTAACTACGTGTCCAATTTGGATATTCGACGAAATTTCGCAAAATTATTACCAAGGGTATGTTTGGTAAGCCAAATAAGCTAGCTTTTAGCTTATTTGGTTAGCTTATAAGCTCCCTGTTTAAAATAAGCCTCGTTTGGTAGGACGAGCTTTTTTAAAAAGCTCGAGCTTATTTCATAAGCTACTTTAGGTAGCTTTTCAAAAGCTAGTTGATTTTTTTTATTTCAGCTAGCTTATCAGCTAATTTACCAAACACCTTTTATCATATAAGTTAGCTTTTCAGCTATAAGTCATAAGCTATAAGCTATAAGCTCAAAAATTACATATAAGCTATAAGCTAGCTTATCAGCTAATTTTACCAAATATAGCCCAAGTTGGATATGTTATTATAACTTCGCATAACATTTCATGTCTTGTGAAATGAAAAAAGATTTTTTTTATAGAGCAATGGTTAAAAAAAAAAGAGTACGTATAATGAGTCGTAAAAGATACCTGTCTGTATTTATTATGTCGGTGCTATGATTGATGACATATGACAAAAAAATATCTCTCTTTATATATTATTTTAAAAGATGTTGAGCCTAAGTGACAGATTATCATGCTTCGTATGCTAACATGACAAAAAATCTATGCTTCGTAATGTTGTTTATATATATATTTTTGCTCTGGAGTAAGACTTAGTATTAGACATAAATAACTTTTTTCAAACTTGGTAAAATATATAGTCATTTTTGTTACTTTTTTTCTCTTAGTATACATTTTCTTCTTAGTTTGAGCAAATAACAGTCTTAGGCCGCGTTTACTAGCAAGGACAGGATTGGATTAGGTCAGTTAACCGACCTAATCTTTTGTTTACTAGGCAGGTTAAGGATAGGAAAAAAATGATGTGTAGATTAGCTGGCAGGTGGGTCCGCGGATAAAAAAATGACGTGCCAGGTTAATAAAATCCGCTGTAGTTGGTCGGATTTTTTAATCTTCCCTTGTATATTCCAATTTTGTCCAAAATAAAGGCAACAAATTGTCCATTATACCCCTCAATGTCATCAAATTTACAGATCTAGTAATTATAAAACCTAAAACCTTCACGATTAAGAGCAGCAATCTGCTCAAGCTCGATAACCCTAGCAGCTCGTCCGTAAATGCCCTATCTTCATCTTCTCCGTCGAATTTGATTTGATTTCTTCGTGTTTCTTGTAATTTCTCCTCTTCTGAACTCGCAGGTGCGCTTGTCCTTGGTCGACAGATCCCGACAAGAAATACCCCAACCCAAATCCGAGGTAATTTCTGCATCAAATTTTTTTTTTTCTTTCATCGATTTTTTGTGCCGTTGTCGGATTCAGTTGCTTTCGATTTCTCTTCATCTGAACTCGCAGTTGATTTTTTGTTCCGTTTTCTTTCATGAATGTACTAATTTCTGCATCAAATTTTGTAATTAATCTGTGGTATATATATGTGATTGCTGGTTTGTCTTCCGAACCAGTTTCTGGAACATCCTAAAGTTGGAACATCAGTGTTTGTTGGTTTCTTTAACACTCCTTTAAAGTTGGAACATCTGTTGTAATTCGTACCTTTGCTGGAACATCAGTTTCAGCAATGTAATTTAAACGAGTCAAAAGAGAAAGAATTCGTTAAAGAAGGCTTTTCTGCATTTTGTGAAGTTGGTGTTTGAGATTGGGAATCAGAGAAAGAATTATTTGGCAGATGGGAAACAAGGACCTGTGCCATGTCTAGTTTGTGGAAGGTCTGATAATTATCTATTACTAAAATTAAAGAAAGCTTGTTCTTTTATATTTATGCTTTATTTCTTTTGCTGTTTATAGTCAATTTCTGGTGGTTTTGCCTCTTCCCGTGGCCGTGGTGTGTATTTACATGTGTGCATACATTTTGTTTTATACCCAACGAGCAACGAGACTGGCTAAGAGCTTGTTATTTTAATTTTCTG